GAGGGCAGCTTTCAATTACATAACACAATCCATCATATTATAACTAACTACACACTATCTCATTTATGGATACGAATCTACTAGATAGATACAGGGATACCTCCGTCATGCAATTGCATTGAATCCCAAGCAGGTCCCGTTTCAGATATAATCCACCAAAACTCTATCTACCACCCCAGCCCTACCAATGCAACAGTCAATCTATGTCCCGAAACAAAGACATACAGACTCGGAGAACACCCCCTCAACATCACTCTAATTCTATTACATTCTCGATCCCCATCCCCCATCCCTCACTCACACATACTTACATCTAACAAACCCCCCTCATGTGTAAGCAAAAAACACAAAAACCCCAAAACAACCCTCAAACATATATAAATCCAAAAGATATCCGCTCTCCTAAATCTATACTATACTATAGTAACAAAATATAAAACTTATGTTCAAAACTCAAATCACATGTCAAATCCCCCACTCCTGGATTAACATTGACTACGTAACTGTAACGGTAAATCTCCGGCCGATCTCCGAGCTGTCAGATAAGGTGAAACGTGCCGGAACGGTTTTTTTGACTCGTGTCAGGTATGACACGGATTACCTGATTAAATTTTTGTGGAACTATGTAGTACCCTTTGTTTTTTCATTTATTTATTTTTTCCATTTTGGTCTGTCTTTCGCTTGTGGAGCTTTGTTTCGTGATGGTTTATTAGGGGTTGTTGGGTGGATGAATGTATGGGGTATTTTAGCTGGTTGATTAAGGTTTTCTTTTCTTTTTCTTTTATTTATTTATTTTTTTTTTGGACGTGTTGAGGGAAAGTGATTACGGATGGAATGGATCTTTTAGATATATTTGAACTTGTTATTGTGAATTGGTAATATCGTAACGTTCATTTGTACATTAGGGTATTTTGTCTCTTTTAATCCATTGCATTATTTGCAATTCCTATGTGACTGGTGGTGGTGGATATCTGTCGTGGATTCATGTGATTTACGATGATTGCAAGAATTGAGACGAGATGGTGCCGCCGCCGGTGGACTCCAGATTGTCGGTGTGTCCGTCGTACTGTTCATTAAGGAGGACTTCGAGCATGTCGAATTCGCCCACCATCGGTCCTGTGCCCCCTAGACCCTGATCCACTATGGTGGAGCTATTGAAGAATTGATCGAGCGGTAGAGCAAACCAGTCCGGCAGTCCGCCAGAGTCCTGCATCGACTGCGATGGAACGTTCGAGCCGTCCAGGTCCCCTGCGGGGGGCGTTGCATTCGGGTCATAGTAGTTATGATACACGGATGGCGGTGGGGGCATAAATGAAACGTTAATATTTGACGAGTTGATCGGCTGTGCCGGGATTCCAGCCAGTGGGTCATGCACCGAAGTCATCGGAGTGCCAGTCGAGTGACCATTACTGTCGACATAGCCCATATTCTGTGTCGAGTTTTGCCCTGGCGTCCAGCCATTGCCCGTGCCGCGGTTTTCGCGTGGACGGGGTGATTGTGGTCGGGAGGTTGGTGCAGACGCGCGGTCATGCTCGCCGTCGTTGCCCCGATCCATCGGTGCGAATCGCAGGAACCGAGTACGAATGCTGGTCGTGAGCAGCTCTAGTAGTCGGGCAATTGCGTGACTTAGGTGGACATCGTCTACCACATGCGTCCGTAATGCTTCCACGGTTCGGTCTTGGAGGTCCAAGGAGACGCGAACGTCATCTTCTCTTGCACCAAGAGTGAATGTCTATTTCGTTAGTCCGAATAGCATAAACCCTGTAGACGATAAGACATACCTTAAGAATGAAAATCATCCCGGATAGAATTCGGAAGTAGGTCCTAACAGGTGCGTGCTTGAGGTGATCCCCAGGAATAAGCTCCTCCAGTACGGTCTGCAGAATCCTGCGCGACGCGTCAACGACCTCTTGGATATACTGTTCATTGACACGGTATAACTCCATGAGCACGTTGAACCAGCTATTGGCTGAAGTCGCCCCAGACCCTGGTCTTGCATTTTGGGCGGCTTCGTTCGACATGGTCGTCCACCGATCAACTACAGCCTGTAGAGCCAGAGAATTGACATATAGCCCTGGACGGTGTTAGTCTTCATCAGAGTGTGGGTTAGAAGAGCAGCTTACGAGTATATTCGTACTCAATCATCAAGAGCATCCTCATTGGAGGTGCAACTGTGACTGTCAGCGTTGATCAACGAACCGGATTATAGAAACTCACGATCAAGAGTGTCAATGTTCTGTCGCCATTCCCGCAAGAATGGCTGGAATCTGTCAATTTGATCTCGATATCGACCACTGCGGATCAACTCTGATGTTTGTTCGTTGGACGCGAACAGGAGTTGATTACTCTGATACATAATCTTCGTAATTCCGATCCAACAATCGTGCATTTTGTCAATGTTCGCATCACCGCCTTTGACGTTGGCTACATTCGTCGGCTGGATGTCATTGGCATATTGAGGGAGAGGAAGCATTGACGGGATACCGATGCGGCCACTGCTCTGCGTGTTGTACACAAGGATGAGGCGACGAAGCCGCCGCTTCCGTGTATGCTCAGCTGGATATTCGCTCGCCGCCTTCGCGTCGTTCTTTTGATCGAACACTCCCAGCTCGAAGGCTAAGGCTTGTGCTGTGCTAAGTAACATCCAAGACATTCGATCGGACCGCCAAGCAGGTTCCAGCCACTTCTGAAAAGCAAGTCGGCCTTCTGCTGAGGCATTTGGGTTACGATTCAGGATATTGTCGGGGTCCATTTCTGAATCCTTTTCGAGCCGTGTTTGACCTTGGGCATCCAAGTCCAGTAGTGTGTTCTCGTCGTCACCCGGGGGGAAATGTAAATTCCGTGGGTGCCAGTCTGTTAGAACCAATAGAGCTTCGATGGTTCCCAGCGATCGCAGGTTGCCCTTGAGATTCACTTTCGCCGATGTGGGTGCTAGGTCGAACGAGCGTGGTTTGCTGATTCCCATACTATCCCCACCGAACTTTTCTTGACCCCAAAAGAGACGTTCAATCATTCCACGTAGATACGACCAGAGCCGGTCATGGATGTAAAAGGAACGGGTATATGCTCCGTCTCCCTTGGGTTTCATATGCCGTGATGCTGTTGTAAGAATCGTAACGGCTAGCACAGGCTCGTCAGTGAGTAAAGTACGATGTGTAGAAAAATGAGAGAAATCAGGAATGACGATAGGGCTCAAATGAGCAAGATGTTTGTAGTAACTACTCAAGTCAGTGGGTTATACCTCGAAAGAAAGGAAGTGACATACTATGCAACATAAGCCATGGCTTCCTCAACTGAAAGCCAGCCAGCACGAACGAAACGCAATCGTGACCAGGCTTTAACAGCATCCGCAAAGCCTGGGTCCTGGAGGCCTTCCGAAGGACCTGACTGGCCACGGCCATCAGAGGCTTGATGATCTACCGAGCCCGATCCAGTCGTTGGGAAATAGTTATTCATCTGCATTCCAGATCTGGCCGGTCTCGAGAACGAGCCTCCTGCGCTTCGGGGTGTGCCAGCCTGGGTAAGAGGGGATATGGGTGAGTTGAAAGACGAGACAGACTGCCGGGCTGCATAACGATTTTCAAGGCTTTGACGATTAAGATCTTCCGTCCGTCCTGCAGCCTCGGACAACAGGTGTAACGCATCATGGCTGTTACTGATTGCAGGTGACAGCAGCTCGACCGCGGTACGATTCATCATGGTTTGCCCACCATCAAGACCAAAACTAGTTGTTCGGTCCCCCAAGGGATACACCAGTCGGGTATTTCGTGCATCGGGGAAGTGTGTCGTAGATGAAGGGGTGTTTGGCGTGAACCGATGGCTGGTGGTAGTGGTAGTGGTCGTCGGCTGGGGTACCTGAGTGGTGGCCGTGGGCGATCGCTCGGACGACCACTTCTGCTGCGGAATGGCACTACTGCTCTCGAACGACGCCGGCTCAGGCTGCGCGTAGGACGACGATCCATCACTGGGAGAGCCATTGGATGCGGGCTCCCCGATCATCATTCTCTTATCGCGTCGGAGTACGCCATCTACAGTCTCCTCGACTTCCGAGGGTTTGCGCTTGCGCCGGGTGGCGGAGAACTCGCAACGCTTGCTTTCGCGACGACATCGTACACAGGGTGGAGGACGGGGATTGTCGACACCTACGACGCCTGTCAGCGGTCATAACTCTACCGAATTAAGGGACTAGGGGGGGAGGGGCATCGTATGATGGCGATGTGAGGGAGGACAGCGCTTACTGCCAAGATCACACTTCACCTTGCGTTTCCGACAAGGGTCGCATGCCTGATACCCGCGGCGATGCTGGGCCTGGGGTGACGGGGACTTCTGATGCTGGCTGTTTTGGGTATAGAGACCGCTGTCAGGTTGTGTATTGCTTGCTGCCATCATGTTCTCCAAACCTCCAGTAGTGCCGCCCTTTGCCGGCGCACAAAGTGGATTATGGTCAAGTTGGGGGTTGGAGAAAGCCGATGCAAAGCGAGCGCTCCGTGAGAAAGCGGTGGGGTTAGCGGGTATTTATCAGGCACGAGGGCTCGCCTTCTTTCTTTCCCATGGGCAGGAATTGGATTTCCCTCTGTATTCGCACAACGAAGAACGGGTGGTCCTCTCTTCAAACCATCACAAGAGTCAGTCAGACCGACAAGTTTGCAATTGGGAATGGATTTTGGAAGAAATCACAGTAACCACGGAAAGTCGATAAATGGGGAAGGAAATGCGGGGTAGCCGAACGTCAAATTTAATTATATTTGCAATGAATTTCCTGAACAGTGATATCTGTTATCAATAGTAATCAGAATCCCCTTTAGACTCAACACTAATGGTTCTTCTTCCCGGTCGGTTCCCATTCCCGCCAGTCGTCATTTTATTTTATTTTTCTTGGTTCGTTCCAGTGCAATCCCATTGTATGTCTAGTTGAAAATACAAGAAAAAAATATCATCATACTTAATCGTACAGATCGATGGAAATGCTCAAACATGGATATCAATCACCCCGTCACAAATGCTTACATATGCAAAATATATTCCACCCAGATCATGGTTAGACAAGTTGAAGAAAAAGGAAAGAGAAGAAATGATCACGGCGGAGACGCCCACGGGTCAGCAAGATAAGCCAGCCCCCTTTAAGCAGATCTAAACCACCACGAGGGACTGGGCCGGGTTTAGGCCACCTGAGAAGCAGACGTCGTGTTCAAGACAGGGATACGCTTCTTCCCCTTGTCAAGCGCGACATCCCCATTGGATTTCGCCAACGAACTCATCATTTTCCGGGGTAAGTTGGATTCGCTGTATGCAACGCTGTCTTCGCTCCCGCGTCTTGACATACTGGGGGTCAACCGGCCCGGTAGCAGGCCTCGAATCCCCCCAGCCTTCCGTGCGGGGATTTCTGCTGTCCCTGCAGTCAGCACGTACAGCAGATACTTCAAGTTGGGGAGCGTATGTCGGATGTCAAGCACTCGTATGCCCTGCTTATTCAGGAGGAATTCGATGTTTTTATTTAGCAGAAACACCCCATATTCGAACCGGTAATGGACGTTGACCGGGTACAGTGGGTACGTCCGTTGCGGGAGTGAGATTGACACTGGGTCCTGGATCTGCGAGTTGGAGAGATACGGATTTATCGGATAAGGCATGGATACGGATAGATAGAAAGACAGGAGATAAACCAAATGTGCAGTATACCCCAGGGCGGCTGCAACAGCGTCCCGATGAATATCGGTGAAGTTCGAGTTCGGCAGGGCAATGCCCGCGATGGTAAACGCGAGCGGTTTGTCGGGGATCGGCTCAATGGGATAGATGGCTAGCAGATCCTCTGAGATGCGCCGGATTTGGCCTTTGGAGTCTTCTGTCTCCTTTTCCAATAGTTTAGTGCTGGAGCGCAGCTTCTCCTGCGCATCGGGAAGATGACTACGAGCTCTTTCTTGTGTCTGGCGCCCACGCGCCATAGCCTCCCTCCTCGCGCGTAAACTAGCGATCAGTTCTTCCTTACGTTTGCTAGCCAAGCGAAGTTGTTTCCTCTCAGACACAACTGCCTGTTTCGTCAGGGCCACTTTATCCCGAGCTCGTGAAGCCTCGCTAGTCACGGCAAAAGCTTTCTGGTTCCTGTCTAGAATGGAACTTATCTGAGCCTCCAACTTGTCCCTAGTGATTAGTGCATCTTGAATGCACTCATCTAGGTTTGCTAGCCGCATGAGCGCGTCGTAGGACGAAGTCGGCAGCGCATTCCTATCAGAAGCTTTGGATGCTTTCGCAGGCAAAGGTACCCAAACCGGCGGAAGGTCAGTCAGATTCCCATAGACACCGTCCGCAAAATGGAAAAGAACAGAGTTCGACGGTAGCGGTTGGTGGAAGCTATCCAACGACTTTCCCAAATACTGTAGGGACTGTAGATGTAACTGCAGTTCCACCAACAGCATATACTCTTCCATAGCAGCAGTCTTCGCCCATAGCTTGAGAGTAAGGTTATCCGATCGCGAGACCAAGGGCCCGCGCATGTTCAGGTCGAAGGACTGGAAGCTGGGGTTCGTTGCATCCTTCACGACCTCGCTTACATACACCGGCTCTTCGATCTTATCGCAATGCATGGAGAACCAGGTATCTGCCATTCGACTCCTCGTAATGTCCTCCAGTTTTACTTGTCTTGTGCGCGGATTGGGATCGCTCCAAGGTAAAGTGTTTCGCCTTTGTGGCTGTCGCTGGGGAGGTGGCTCCCGACTAATACACTTATCGCCGGCTGCATTGACAGATTTTAGATTTGTGAACGAGCGAGAGTGGTTCAGGGGGCGACTCGCATCCTGTGCAAGAATCTTCGACGGCGATTGGAACGAGTTGGGGATGTCTTCGTCATCAATAGTTTTCCCCCGAGTCCTGCTCGGGGGCTCGACAACAAGATTACGGATTGAGATGCCTTGTAGATGGCGAAGCTTGCGATTCTAGAAAACAAGCCTATCAGCTTACCTCCAGACCAATTGGCGGAGATTCTACTGTGGGATGGAATTACCGATGGGAACAGCCAAGATCTCTCGCGACGATTACCAGCATCATCATGGCCTATGCCTTCCGAGGTAATAGTCAGCGACATTGCGGCAGTTTGATTGTTTAGTGGATGTGCGCAGTCATTCTATGTGCAGTCCCAAAGTCTATAGCGTGGAATGTAAAAAAGTTCAATAATTAAGTATAACAAGGATGAGATGTGCGCTAAACTTGAAGGCTCATTAAGAATGAAGGAAGCTTAAACACAAGCATCCATTTGCTCTGCGGAGGTTGCAGCGGGTTTGGCCCATTTGGTTTGGTTTTATTGGGTTTGGTCTCCCCGTCGAAAAATTGATCCGCGCGCTCGCTCTTTCCAGCTTCCGACCCTCCATCAACTTCACCACACCTCACCTCTCCTTTCCCCGAATCGCTATGCACTAGAGGGGACAACATTCTACTCAAATTAACCTCAAGATCGATCAGTAAGAGAGACGCAGCAGTGCGTTTCTGGCCGCAATGGCCTCACAGTCCGTCACCAAGCCGTTCCAGAAGATCCTGGACCCGACCAAAATCGGGACATGGAATATCGTCCGTCGCCCGCCAATCGAGAACCATACCGTGATCCAGGGAAAAGCGCGGGAACAGAATTCGAATGCTTTCAAGACACACCAGTGGAAGGAAGGAGTCCGGTTACGAAAGGCCATCAATGCCATTACGCACGGGAAGAACATCTTCGTCTATCATAACATCCGCACCAACCAGGTTGTCTACTCATTGACGCGGTATCTGGAGGTAAGACTACCTCCTTTTCATCCTTGTGCTCGTTCTGTAATTTCACAGAAGCATATGCTAAGGTGTATATCTCCTTTAGAAAAATAGTGTCCTCCGTCAGCTAGTATACCACGGCAAAAAGACCGTCCCCGCTACACTCCGAAAGGACATGTGGGTGCCTTACTACTCCGTCCATTTCGATGAGCCCAAGGTCGGTCTCCGTGCCTACCACCTTCTCCGCGAATTTGCCATGCAGCGCCAACTCGCCCCTCCTCGTGAGATGATCACCATCAGCGAAAGGTTCCTGGATCAGAAGCGACCCAAAGACCCCGAGGGAGCCAAGAAGTTCGACGAGAAGTATGCAGACAAGGTCGGCTGGCTGATGGAGAAGAAATACCGCGCTCGTGCCTTGATGGACCAGAAGGCTACCAGTGTTGCCGATGTGTCGGCCGTTCTGGCCATCCAGGAAGAGGAGATCGCGAATGGTTTCGCTGATGGCAAGAGGGGATACCTCACTCGCACTGCTAGACGGCGCCGCAGGGAGGCTCGTGCGAAGGAGACTGCTAAGGCCGCCGAGCAAGTTGAGCGTGTGACTCAGCTGGAAAAGACCTTGAGCACAGCCGAGGTCGAATACAAGGTCCAGGAGACTGAAAGCACGAACGGACTGGAAAGCAATGGCGTCAAGATTCTCTGGACTGATGTCCACGATGCTCGTCTCGCTGAATCTTGGCCTGAGCGTGTCCGCCACGGTGAACTCGACCTGACCCGTGATCACGTTATGCCAGGACAGAAGCCCAACTATGGTGTGGAAATTCTTGCTGATGAGGCGTTTAAGGAGAAGCAGCCGGGGCAGAAGGCCTAAGGGCTATAAGAAGACGTGTATTGAATACTGATGGAAACTTGTGTGGATATTACCTTGGAAAGATGTATTCGTTCTTCGCATATACAGATTTGTATTTTTAGATGATGCAATGGCGTTTAGCAGATTGTCAATTTATTACTACTTCTCCCCCTAGTTATAATCTACATGGTGGGACATTTGCTGTTGTTCCGATTATCTACGAAGACCCATATTAACTTCTATTGGTTTCAAATTTGGGGTTCAGATTTACAGCGTTATGTACCAATACAGGAGCAGCAGTCATTGCCCGAGGAGGTAGAACACGGATGACCGGGTCAGTTCCGCTTTCTTCGACTAATGGCATAAAAGCAGAGGTCGAGTACCTCTACATGTAGATGAGAAAACAGAAGAGTGCAGAACCAGAAACAAAAGGAGAACCAGTAAAACCCACATATTTTGGGTCTCAAGGGGCAGGAGAAGAAGATAATACCGGGTGACCGTGGGCTACCAGAGGTCCCAAGTCCCCAGGCTGCGATCGACGCCAGTAGGTTGTTGAGATAAACGAGGGCAGAAAGAGAAGGTAACAAAAAAACAAAGATGCAAATTCATTGTCTGTACCGAGATATGGACGTAGCTCAAAGCTTTCTATCCTCTCTTTCGGATACGACGTCAGTCTCGCAGGTGTTTCTACCTGATGCTTAGGGATTCCCGTTGTTTGCATCAGACTTGTTTAAGTGGCTGACGGTTGGTGCATCATTAGAATCGTCCACTGACATCTCTGGCCCGGGTTCGCCATCAGCCATTTTATGCAAAATTTCATCTTTGACCTTCTCAGCTGCTTCACTATCGTCTGCAATGTCTGTATTGGCCATGCTCTTTCTTGCCCCCTCGATAATCTTGTCTGCTTCGCTCACGCCGTGCTCGACATCCATAGACGGATCGCCAGCCACACCAATTGGCTCAGCGGTCTTATTGATGACCTCCTTGACACGATCCGTATCGAGTCGGATGACCATGCAAGAAAGATTATCTGTACTGAATCGTGCAAGAGCATAGTCGACCAGAATCTTAGATGCTTCCTGAGCGTCTGGGACATTTCGAACAAGATCCACGGCTTCCTGGTCAGTGCAGACATCCCACAGCTATTTATCATTAGTGACATTCATTGAATATTACGAAGACCATCGCTTACCCCGTCACAGGCCAATATAATAAATTCGTCAGAGTCCGGTTGGACCACGGTCTCCGTGGTATACGGGTGCCCGGTGACGAGATCCTTGAGATAGGCATCACCCAGGGCTCTGGTCACTGCGAGAACACCGTTTACTCTGTTGTTAAGTATCAAACCCCCGGCATTGGCTATCCTCTTTCCTTCATTTTCGTCGCTACCTTTGTGATCGTAGGACAACCGGAGCGCCTTGCCATTGCGACATAAAATAATACGAGCATCACCCACATTGGCCGTGTACAAGACACGTTGCCGTATAGCTTTCTCTTGCAATTTGGGCAGAATGGACGGGCCAGTACTGGTTGCTTGAGTGGGTGTGTCATCGGCTTCTGAAGTGGAATCGCCCTTTGCGGCTGCGGCTGCTGCGGGAGCAAGTGCCGAAGAGCCAGTTGCCGAATGCGAACTGGGGATCCGGTCTTCCCATCGTAGAAGGGCAATGACAGCAGTACACCCACTGTTCTTCACAGGTAACTTCTCTAACTGCTGATCAACACTAGTGAATGTTTGGTCGAGAAGTTCCGGAACGGGCGTATTGGGATTCTTCTTCATTATATCCTCTAAAATCAGATGTAATTTCTTCCCACACCATTCAGCAGCGAATGTGCCGGCATGTCCATCGAAAATGGCGAAATACCCATTGTCGGTTTCAACAACGCTGGACGCTTCTACAGGTGTGAGGGAAGAACCAAGCTGGTTCTCGCCATCAGCCCGGGCTAATGGTGCGGGGGTCCCCAAAAAGTTGTAGAGATATGCATGGGTATCTTCCATAGTCCGGCGACATTTTCGATTCCGGTCTTCTGTGACACCAACTTTGAACGATGAGCGAGGAGTGGGTAGCGAATCGCCAGCCGAATTGTTCAATGACCCTTGTGGGACACTCAATGCCGGGTCCATGCTCCCAAGTGACTGCAACGTTTGCGGAGATCGAACCGTGTAATTGAACGATGAAGATTCGCGAGGACTACTACTCAAACTCAGCGAATTCTTAGCGTTGGTGAAAAACGTCGCCGCTTTCGTGACTGTGCTACTCCGGCGCTTCTTCTCCCCGGCAGGGCCCTGGTCTTCGCTAGTCCTTCTCGTAAAGAAACCACCGGACGGCAGAGATTTGCTGGTATGGGTTACACCGCCTTCCTCGGGATGTACACTCAAAGATTGTGTATCGACAGCACCGGAGTGTGGAACTGAATTTGATTTGTCTTTGGGTGGGCTCGAAGAGCCACTGAACATTCTGTTCAGCAACCCACCCTGGCTCGAAAAACTTCTCCGCTTATTCCCTGCCAGCTTGATTGTAGGTATGAGAATGTGGTATTAAACCAGACCAAAGTTAGAGCGGCGGCGGCGGCGGCGGCAGCGGAAGACGAAATCCGGCAAGGCCTGACTGACGTAGGGTAGGAATTGCGGCGGAAGCGAGGGGAAAGAGCTGAACAAGAAAAATAAGGAGAGTGTCAGTGACTGAGTGTACTAGAATTTGTTTCCAACTCGAGTAGGTTGAAGGATAATGATTTCCAAGGTTCAGGTGATATCTAAAACGCAGTGGTATCAGATGACGAATGTCTGGGCGTTTGCGTGGTCGAAAAGAAACAGGTCTATGACATATAGTGGCCCTTCTCTACCAGACATACAAGAGAACATAGCGGAGAAAAAAAAAACAGTAACTAGTAGGAAATAGGCATGAATTTGAAATGATCATCACAAGTCTATCCGACTGAAACTGATTTGTCACCTTGGATCAAGTTCCATGGGGGCACATCATGATCAACCCCACTGCGCAGCGACACATGGAAACAACAGTGTGCTAAGCCACTGGGCGATATTTGGGTAGGAATTAAGTAACACTCACGAGGAACACGATCAGATGAAATCAAAGCTCTAAGGTTTTCTGGATGTAGAAAAGTGGTGAAGACGTACTCCGGGTTGAAGTACGGCGAGCGCGGGTGGGTTAGAGGTGGGATCGATGGGCATTTATTATTAGTAGTAATAGTAGTAGTTAGTAGTTCGTAGTTTAGTTCATCATTGCTGGGAACGCAACTCAGGTCACTTCCCACTCCCGTTCTTTGCGCTAAACCCAGGTCGGGGGAGAGTTTTAACTAATCACGCAGGCGGTCGAACGCCAGTGCCGGAAGGGCGGAAGACCGCCCAGACTATTTCATTAGTTGAGGACGGAATTGGGGGACGGGTGGATCCCCCCAAAGCAACAGCATCACTTACAGTAGTGAGGCAAACCGTTTGCTTTTTCCTTCCCCTGGGACTAGGTAGGGGTCAGGGATCATGAGATCCTATGGAATTTATACGATATGATGTGATATGGTATGGTATGGTGTCTCGTCTACTCAGTGTGCCTTGATTTGCCTAGTGTCTATTGCCCGCATTGGAAATTTGTTTTCTCATATTGTACGATTCTACCGGCTTATGCACAGATACATAGTATATATAACCGACGGACTTATCATGTCGCCTAAACGGCGAAGGACTTTTAGAAGCCCACAAATTATAGAAACATTGACCAAACCGCAGAATCTATAAGCCCTATGCACAAGAACTCTTACCGTATTGAGGGCAAAATTCGAATGATCTAAGTATCCTGGAACCTATTCATACATTCATTCATATAGGAATCTTCTGGGACAAACCCCGGGGACCGTGCTATATAGACCTATCATGATTCTAGGGTATGAGGACGTACAGCACGAGATGAATAGCATCAACATGGAGACTTTCAATCCCACGAACTGAAATCCCCAAACCCTCCCCTGCTTTTGAACTTCTTCCGCATCGGCTCGGGCTCGGGCTCCTCGTCTACAAACTCCACGATTTCATCCTCTTCTTGAGCGGCCTGACTAGCCAGCGCAGCCTTCAAATACTTTCCCACTCCGCTCCCAGCATCACCGCCAGCTCCTGTAGAGCCTGGGCCACGTACTCTCTTTCCTGTCCAAGTAACTTGGTCGTCATCCTCCTGCTGAGTTTCCCGAGCTTCTTCTTTTGGATCGGCTGTTTTATTCTTCCCCGACGCCTCTTCCGCCTTTTTCTGATTCAGAAACTCCTCAAACGGGTCCACGAATATTGTGACATCTGTGATGCGAATGTCTGGAGTAGGTCTATTAGTTGACGCATTGACCGGGTGCGTTTCCAGGTTGTTTAGGGTGGTAGATGAAGGAGTCGGATCGTCGATTACATGACCGAAAACAGTATGCTTGTTGTTCAGGTGTGGGAGAGCACGGTACGCAATGAAGCTAATAGAGCAAAGTTAGCACCAGCCGTCTTGAGTAAACTCCCGGCGTAGTGTGGGGGTCAAAAAGGAAGGCAAACAATGAGCAAGGTAGGAACACTTACAATTGGCTGCTATTCGTGTTCTTGCCTTTATTGGCCATGCTGAGAGTCCCTCTAGAATCATGTTTCAGAGGTCCCTCAAATTCATCATTGAAGTATTTACCCCAGATACTTTCACCACCCCGACCAGTACCCGAGGGATCTCCGCCCTGGACCATAAAGCCCTTGATATTGCGATGGAAAGTGACATCCTTATAATATCCTTTCTTAGCCAATTTGATAAAGTTCCACACGGCCTTTGGTGCGTACTCCGTCTGTAGCTCCAGGTTAATATCACCGGATGTGGTTGAGATTCGAGCATAACCCTTTTGCTTTACACGACCTCGCTTTAACATGTATTCTTCGTCGGAAAGGAGTGCGAGCTCAGCAGAGGTATGTGGAGTTAGACCGGTACTTGTGAAGGATGCCGCAGCCAGACCAGTAGTATGCTTGGCTGCATTGTATGGTGTAGGTTTCCCAGATTGGAACGAGGTCGTTTTGGATTGAGTACTTGTAGTTGCACTACCATCACCCTTTTTGGCGACAGCAGTAGCGCCAGCTCGTTGCGCTCTCTCCGAACGGGCTTTAGCCACAGCCTCCTTTGCCTTTAGGATCTTCGCCGAACTTCCCAATGCGCTGGCATTAACATTGGACTCTTCCTCATTCTGTCCAGGAACAGTTTCGCCTTCCTTCAAATAATTAAAGGAGCTGAGGTTCCGCGACTCGATATTCTGTGGATCCTGTAGTGTAATTATGTCCTTGCGTCCGAATTCCTCATCCGTAACGAGGTCGCGCCACAGCTTTCCCTTGATATTCAACCGCTCAACAGTATCCCAAGCGAAGACATTTCCGGTATTGCGCAAAGCGACAATATGCGTGTTATCGGTTAAGACTTTATAGGTGACTGGGTCAACGTAATCGCCCGACTCGTTCTTCGCGATGTTGAGCTTAATGAGGTCGGAGTTTTTCAGCGGCGTACCGTCTACCGGATTCTTCCCATGTTTCTTGATCCAAGGGAGGATATTGGTGAGGTCGAAAATTGTCCCTGAAGGCGTGCAAACCGGATGCGTGAATGGCTGCAGTGAGAGAGAGCAGAAATTGAAAGGAAGACGTTTGAAGGGTGCGTTGTCCCCTCCTCTTCCTCCTCCTGCTCCGGCACTCGCAGAGTACGCATCCCCTGATGCCCACTCCGAATGTGTAATCTGTTTGGAACTTTGCGATCAGTAACCAAGACGACGGAGTCTAATAGATCGCGAATAACAAATCTTCGATGAGGTGTATCATACATAAAGCTTATCCGTTCCTACCAGGCAAAGGGTCTGTTAGCATTAAAATGATATTTATCAAGTAGCTCAGAACATTGATTCACTAAACTAACCTTTCCCCATCTCGGCGACGAAATTTTATGTTGATATTCTGACCGAATCTTCGCAAATGCGACCGCCGACCGCTGACCGCGCCGCAAGAGATGATGTATTGCTCTCGGCCTAGATGCGAAACTAACCGAATCAGGCTAGACCGTAATTAATCCATCTGATGGACAGGGTTCATTTAACATACAGGTTGACATAGGCATCTATTAGGTGCTAGATAGTTGGTTAGAAAACCATGAATTTCTCCTTCATTTGCTAGGTAGTGAATTAGCCTTACAACAACTACATTTTGGTATAATCCACTCGTTTTGAAGTTCATTTCGCCGAAGTACGGCCAACCGGATATAACTAGCATGATGCATATCATTGACATTGCAGAAAGGGGTATACCCTGAATCAAACCCGCTATTATTATTTTTTTGTAAAACCCGTATAACGCCATAAGTTAAGCTGTTCAGTCGTCACGCAAAGGGCAAGGGCTACCGCACATGAGCAATTTCAAGCAGAGGATGGCTGGTAGCGTAGAGGCACAACCCAGCGATTGCCGAAGTCAATTCCGTGCCGGCGACGTGTCCCATACTTCCTCCACACGATCTGAGGAATCCCAATGTCTGCTACGGAAAGGCTCCAAGTAAGGCCCTCCCCGGCAAGCAGTGCATTTATAATTCCAGTCTTGGGCGCTCCGAGACAGACTACTGATTTGGAACTGACGCACACCCGGCCTCCCTCCATTACAGTCACCTCACCTGTAGTTGGCTTGTGTTAGTTACGGTACTATAAGGTGCATATGGATGTAGGAGAGACTTACCACTCGAAGCTGAAAAGCCTGAAGGGACGTCAACGGACAGAACTTCGAGGTTGCTTCGGTTGGCCCAGGCGATCATCTCAAAAGCCACAGCTTGATCGTCGGTGCGGAGGTCATCAAAGGCTATGTGAATACCGAATAGAGCATCTAGGACTAGATCAGGACTAAACTCAGAGGTCGAAAGCCGTGTTGATAAATCCTCCCATCTGTGCACACGTCCACCGATCTTCTTGAAAACATCAATCTGCTTGCGGCAGCTCTCGAGTAACTCATTTTCGTGTTCGATACCAAGCATGCAGACAGTTACACGGTGTCCTCTATTACGAAGGTGGCGAGCAGCAGATACGGCCCTTGCGCCAGTACGATGGTTGCCGGTCAACACAAGCATGGTAGGCGCAGCGGCATCGCTAGACAAAAGGCCAACGGCAGCTTCCGCAATGCTTCTCCCAGCATTTTCCGTGATCATATCTTCAGTCAGGCCAAGTTCAGCGACCGCAATTTGCTCGACTTCGAGGGCTTGTAGCGGGCTCACAGTCGGACAACTTCTATTCGTGGTAGTGAGGCGCAAGGAAGCTCCAGGAACACCGGGTCCGCTAATTGGCGATGCCGAGACTGAAGCCTTACTTCCAGGGCGAGGACTGGTAGTACGAGAAGCGCTGAGTTGGCCACGCCCAACAGTGTTGATCTGGGGAGGAACCAGAGGTTGTCCCAGAATGCCACTTCCCTTCCGGCTCTGGGCTCGTGCTGACCCTCTTGAGAGCTCGCGTCCTGAGTAGTTTCCGCTGCTCAGTTTCGCGTCACTTGGCTCCTGATCAGTATCTCCAGTTTCACTTCCCGGAGGACTATCGAGCACATTCTCAGTCCAATGCAGATTCTTCCCACCGTTCGTGCCCAGCTTGGGGACCCTTCTGTTAAAACTGACCAATCGTGCTTCATCTGCCGTGGTGTCGTCATTTCTAATCTCTTCAAAGACCCTTCTTTTGTCGAATTTGGAGAGATTACTTTGAAAATCGAAGTCACCCAGTTCTTGAATGTCGGTGGCATCTTCTGTTGCCCAACCACTGGGATCCTCCGCATAAGAACCGCGGTTCTTCTTCTTCCGACGTCGTGAGTTAGGCTCTCTTTCTCTGTATTTTTGTGGGCTGGCAGGCTCTACAAAGGCAGTCTGACGCCACCCTCGGGTCTTCGGGTTCGTATTCGCCGCACCATCGTGCTCATTAACAGGCGTTAACCCTGCACGCTGAGACTTGTTCTGACCAACGCGACGACCACCCTTTGGGTTGACCTGGGCGGCAGCGCGTGGTGCAGTCGTAAAATCGTCCTTGCCTGCAGGAACAGACCCGTGCAACTCGTTTTCCTGCGGCGCATTGCGAGGCTCCTTTGCTCTGCCATCTACGTTCAGTTCCAAGTTGCTGAATGGTTCCGTAAGGACAGCAGACTCATCACGATGGGCCTGATGCGGGGGGTGGA